TACTGTCATGTCATCTGCGAACAGAATAACTGTCGGGAACTTGAGATGATGGGACGTCCCTACATTGACTTCTGGGAGTCTATGTATGGATGGGTCTTTCCTTAGGAAGGAAGCAATGGCCTCCATCACAAATAAGAAGATCGAGGGGGCTAACGGGTCCCCTTGTCTGACTAATCGGGATATTGGGTAGCTGTCAGATAAAAACCCGTTGATCTGTACGCAACCTGAGGCATTGTTATACAATACCCGGATCCATTTCCTAAAAATTGGTCCCACCCCCATACGTTCCATACTTGCATCCATAAACGACCAGTTGACTTGATCATAGGCTTTTTCAAAGTCGAAGAAGAGTATGGTTGTGTTTATCCTCCTTTCTCTGACTTTGTTTGCCGCTTCGTCTAGAGTTAGCACATTATCCAGAATGTAACATCCAGGGATGAAGCCCGTCTGATCAATATGAAAGCATTTATCAGTTATTTTCGTGATTTTGGCAGCCAGGGTCTTAGCCAAGATTTTGTATGGGAGAGTTGGTAAGGAGATAGGTCTATAGTTCCTTATGTCTTCCTTGTCTCCCTTCTTATACAGTAGTGTTACTACGCTGCTACTCAGCAGACTGCCTAATCCCCCTTTCTCAAATCTGTCTCTGTAGAAGTTCAACAGGTCCCCCCCTAGGTTTGTCCAAATTTTTTCCCAGAACTCTCTTGTCAACCCGTCGATACCTGGTGCTTTATCATTATTCATGCTCTTGAGAGCTTGGTTTAGCTCCTCCAAAGATAAGGGCTTGTCCAACTCTTCTGATTGTTCTGATGATATCGTTTGTTCCAAATATTGTAACATTCTCTGTCTCGCTTCCAATGTATTACTTGGCGTGGGTGTTTGGGTTTTAGTCTAATACATGTCCTGGTAAAATTCTTTGGCTATTCCCAAAATCCCTTCGCTGGTTTCGTCTGATATCTCCGGGTTGCTAAGGCTCTTCAATTTTTCTATTGTGGCCGCTCTTGTATTTGCTTTGATTCGGGCAAAGAAGTGTTTCGACATTGATTCGCTGAGATCATACTCGCACATCCTGACTCTTATCTGCATGCCTTTCAATTCCCACCACCGCCACATCACTAGCTCTTCCCGTGCTTTCTCAAATATGTCCGCATATAGTGCTGAGGTCGGGTTATCCCTCAGGTTGTACTCTGCTATCTTCAGGGCCTTTTCCAGGCTTTGTTTTCTCTGCTTCCTTATAGAGGCCAGTTTTCTTGACATATCGGCTGCTGCCTCCGCTAGTCGCGAGTAACTCTCTACGAACCATTCCCATTGGTCTTGAGTGGGAAGGCGGCACATACCCCTCTCTTTCCAATATTCCCGTATTCCTTCTTGAAAGGTTTGGCTCAACAGGAGTGAGTTGTTCAGTTTGTGAAAGCTGGCCCCTTTCCTCACTTGTTGCTCAAAGCATATCGTGAGCTCAATAGGTTTATGATCCAGTCCTGGGTAGGGTGCTAGAGGTAGGATCTCCACCTCTTTCACCGCTCCCATCATTGTACCTGAAATCAGGAAATAGTCTATTCGTGAGAAGGCTGTATGTTGCGCATGGCTTTTCTTGATCAATGTGAATGCTCTCGACGTCGGGTGGAAGGTTCTGAAAGGGTCTATTAGTTTGTGATCCACCATCAGTCTCTGGACCGGTATTGCCTCTTGAGAATTGTAAGTGTTGGAGGATCTGGATATGCGGTCCGTTGCTGGATCTAAGGTTGCATTCCAGTCGCCTGCTACTATGCACGGCGTCAGTGGTGGAATCCTTGTCCCCAGTTCTGACAGGAAGGA